TGTAGTCTCTGCCTCTGTGCTAATAATGTGGTATGGCAACATGAACTTATGTACATACGTACGAAGTTCTACGTTGCAACTGACTGAGTATTCGATTATAGATGTCTTCGGAGCATTGCTTGTGTATCCTAGGACAACCGAGTAAGCAATGCTATGGTTAGGAAACGAGTACTACGTACGGATGACAAATCAATAGATGAAGTATTGAAACAGTATTGAGGTGGTTGGGACATATGTTACGAATGTCAAACCACCAACTACCTCGTCAAGCGATGTTTTGTGGTGTAGGAGTAGCTTGGAAGGAAGCAAACCGAAACATGGCACAAATCCATCAAGTCACTCGCAAGTGGACTGAGTTATGCTGGTAAATGTAGACTATCAGGTTAAGGTCCGCGAGACGATTGTAACCGATGTTTTGAGACCTTGAACGGCATGACTCAAAATCGTTTGCAATGGCTCGGGTGCATGCACTGTTCTCATCTTCTCTGAAATTCTTATCTTCTGAATTCATCTATCCTTTTTTAAGTATATTTTTCCCTAGATCATAACTTCTTGAATAATATCTTCGAATCCTAATCCTCTCTTTTACCGCCAACACTTCTACAATCTCCACTACTATGGGATATAAATTAACAATTCCGTCTTTGTGCTAATGTCGTATGACGACAATATGAACTTCTATATGTACGCACGAAATCCTATCTTTAATTCTTAGAGACTAGATACTGGAGGTGTAGTAGAAGTATTAACAATAATCAGAGAGATTATTATTTAAAAAAATATAATTTAGTGAAATAAATTTCAAAAAAGAGAAAGCTAAAGCTGATGATGAAACATTGAGAAGATTAAGATTTAAGATAAGCCATAGAATGTATGTACCTGTGCCAATTTTTTAAAATTTTATTTTAATCACTTCAAAAACGTTCTGCAATTTAATCTTACTGTAGATTAAAACAGAACGGCCAACCAATGAATGAATGAATGAATTTGTCGTTTAGTGTATATACCACTACTACTACTACTACTACTACTACTACTACTACTGTAGTGCGAGCTACTTATAAGTAGTATATGACGTGAGTGTCAACGTAATGTCTGACAGCAGCAGAAGATGGGGGAAGATCAAGAAAGGAAGAGTGGGAACACACAATGGAATTTGTATGAAACGCATGAATAGTGACAATGGATCGATGTTTTTTGCAACAGGAACAGTCCAGTTCGATATGATGAACTGATATTTTGCAAATGAACAATTTACGATATGGTTTACCGATTTTACTGAGTAACTCTGTAATTTTCGTTAAATACAATTCGGTTTCCCCACCTGTGTTCTCGTTCACTACACTACTACTACTCTATGACGTTCTCTCTATGGTCTACTGGCAAACTATACAATTTACAATAAAATACACAAACGGGCGAGAGTATGATTTTATTTTAAAAATCTATATGTATGACGACATCAGATGAGGTAAATTCGTTGCTAAGGAACACACACACACACTATCAAAAGGCATATTAGTTTACTGACAATAATCATTGGTTCATACGTTTTCAGTGTGTTATCTATCAGGAAGTATCTCTCTATTCTTTGCACGTATTGTATCTCTCATAGATCAGTGAAAGAATAGTCAATCGATGTAAACAGTGACATAGTTGTTAAATATCTTGAAATAAAATTCTAGTTTAACTCTATTTGAAACGTATAAAGTGTACATACAGTGCGGAAAATGAAAGAAACAGTAGTGGGATAAACAATGGATGTTTCTTTTTAATGTTGGTTTTAAAAAATAACCCACTTTAAACTCTACTTTTTTTAAAATAAGCGCTACATAGAACAACGACCACACGATGGTTGATTAGAATGAGAGAGACACAAGGAGAGACATCAGTATTGAAGACGATCATCAAAGATTAAGAATCTAAAAGAAGACTCTCATATCTATAAAACAGCACCTTAAGTTGACCTATGGTGATGATATGCTCGTCAACTGATATGCTTGAAACTATTACGAGTTCATCTTAGTCGATGGTAAACGAGAGCGAAAATAAATTAATCCAGCGACACGGTAAGCTATTCTAATCCGTTGTTCCAGGCCCTACTTACTATATTACGAAGTCTTGATAAGGTGTAGATACTGTATTCTACAAGCACTCAGAAAATATGAGGTTTACAACCACACAAATCAGTCAGTCAGTTGCAACGTAGAACTTCGTACGTATGTACACAAGTTCAGGTTGCTATACCACATTAGAACAGAGACGCAAATGTCAAATCAAATCCCAAGTGATAGAGATAGTAGAGGTATTAATGGTAATGAAGAAGACTAGGGTTCGAAGACATTATTCAAGAAGTATAATTAATTGAGATAAGGTTAGAAAGACAAAGGTAGAGGTGCTGGCTAATCCAGAAGATTAGGATTTATGTGTCCTAAGCGCACAAATCGAATTTTATTTATACATGATAGAAACGTCCTTGGGAAAGCCACAAAAATAGCGTACTAAAATAATACACATCAACCAATGACAGTCAAGTATTTTCCGAGTGGGAAATGTGATCTCAAGGTCAACTGCGATCAGCCCATGCGCGAAAACCATCAAAAACAAGTCCAAAATTACGACCTTCTACACGTGAGTTCTAAGGATCCTAACGTCTTCAACATCACATCATATAATTCCGCTATTCGGACTACAACACATAGAGATGAAGTCCGACAAAATTATACACACTCTCATGATATAATGTGCATCACTCAACTGTCTCTCTCTCTATCATATTTCACAACTGTGTTATCGTTTATGAAGTAAAAATAAATGATTTAAATCAATATTGATTACCATTATTAGCTGGATTAGTCCATGTTGCAGTGGAATTGATCTTTAATGGACAACCTTCAAACACTAATGAAAAACAAGCTCCCATCTGAATGTAAAGAAAAAAGTGATAAAAACATTATTATTAATAATAACAATAATAATAATAAATGACAAACAATGTGTCAAGACATAAAATCAGTGAATTTTTTGTAATGAGTGATTAATTAAACATGATTAATTGACAGACAGAGACAGACAGACAGATACAACGTAGAACTTCGTACGTTCACGTTGACATGCCCCATCAGCATAGAGACGTAACTGTCAGTTCAAATCCAAGAGTAAATAGCAATAATAGAAGTATTAGTAGTAATGCAGAGGATTAGGGAGCGAAGTACAATTCGATGAGATAAATTTAGAAGGAGAAGGATAGAGATTATGAGGAATGCAGAAGCTTAGATTTTCATAGAACACAAAGAATAAACGCACCGGCGCCATTGCGAACGATTCGGAGACATGTCGTTCAAGGTCTCTAACCATCGGTGGCTATCGTCTCGCGGACCCCAACCAGGTAGTTTACATCTACCAACATGAATCAGTCCACTTGTCAGTGACTTGATGGATTTGTGCCATGTTTTGTTTTGGCCGTCCCTAGCCTTCTTCCAACCTACTCCTACACCACGAAACATAGATCGTCGAGGCAGTCGGTGGTTAGCCATACGTAACACATGTCCCAACCACCTCAACTGATGAAGTTTCACTACTTCATCTATTGATCTGCCATCCTTACCTAGTACTCGTTTCCTAACGATAGCATTGCTTATACGGTTGTCCCACGATACACGAGCAATGCTTCGGTCAACACGCTCGACTACTTCACTCCCTATCACTAGTGCCGATGAAAACCAATCTTGAAGCAACGTTTCCATTTCGACGGGGAAAACCGCATATGATTAATAAATGTTACAAGTAGAAGACATGTATGTGTAGGTTATGAATGTTTTCATCATAAATTATCTTTGAAGCATTGTTCAAGATAATTTAACATGTACTAGCGTATACTGATGCTAAGATCTATGTTCACCTGCAGTCATCAAGAATACCCAGAATATGCATTTCGCCTCATTTGAGACTTATAAACGTGATGAATCAGTACCTCAGTAATGATTTTCACATTTAGACGAATGAAATATAGTTCTGAATATTAGTAGCAAGAACACTTAAACACTATATATATATAACACCGTCGGATACCGGTTCAGTGGTCCGGAGGTTAGGCGTTCGCTCGCAACACCGAAGGGTTCAATCCATGCGAGTAGCGGGAGTCCTGGATATGCATTTAAAAAGAGCGTTGGCGACCGGCCAAAGATATGTGACATAAATCTGTAGTGTGTGTACCAATCTGTCGAGCCCATAGGGCTTGTCCCAGCCTTTGAACAAATCAATTAATCCATTCTTATCAAGCCATTATTCACACATGTTTCGACCCCGTCAATTATTCGCTTTGTTGTTCTTGCCTGATTGCGTATTTCCATCGCTTACTTCGCTTATCCCATTTCTAGGCTATTCTGTCTGACTATAAATACTTCATTGCATAGAGATGGCTCAATCTCCTTCTCCTCTTCGCGTCCCTTTGTTTTCACGCTTTGCATTCTAATGTCTGTCTGCGTGAAAAACAGTTTGTAGTAAATTCATCCAACAGAATCCTTATTTGGCTTTTTACTACCGCCAACGTACAAACGGTGGTTCGCCTAAGTATGTAATATACGAAAATTGAAGAGAAGATTAATTTCATCGCATACTCAATCGTACGTCCAAACTAGAGTCAGATTGCAGACCACTAAAAGTCTATGAAGTTTCTCAAATTGAATCACGTCAGGGGAGTTTAACTATTTTTGATTGAATCAACTGAATAGTCTTTAGTCAATGTCAATGATGGATTGATTTAGTTTTGGTGGAGACAATTAATTTTGAAGTTCAATTTCACGAAGTGACTTTAATATTTTTTTTTTCGGGTTGTTGAATCAGAATGCACTAAACACATATTCCATCTTAGTTTGGGACACTTAATCAGTGTACATCTATCGGGCACTAACCAAGTAATTCGGAGGTTTAATCATCTAACGAGATACCAACGTAGTGAATGTAAGATCCATTTTTGAAGGCTTTGTTTGTGAAAATCCCTCCATGTTGTATACATTTGTAATTTGTCCTTATTGATCATTCCTTCAGTTGTACATTTTGTTAAGTTGTTCGATTCAATTTTTGAGACGATTTGTATTTATATTAATTATAGTTTCTATTTCTTTTGCCTTCACTGAGGTTCAATGTTTCTTTCTGAACTACATTTATGTTGTTTAAGCTGATACTTAGTCATGGCAACAGCCATATTGATTTGTTCCTTTTTTTGATTGTATTGCTTGCTTTGACTGGAATTGTGCATTACGATTGTAAATTGGAGCACTCTTCCAGAATTGGAAATGCTCTGTGTTATAAAGTGTTAGGATATTTACCCAAAATCCTAAGAGAATTACTGGTCAATTCCTATTGGTTAATCCCTACTGGTCAATTTTATGGTCGTCCTAGATATCAATGTCACATGCTCCAATGTTGTTTCTTATTGGTTGTTCTGACTATCAATGTCACTTCAAATGATGCTTCCTATTGGTCATCTTAATTGTCAATGTCGCAGATTTCGATGCTGTTTCCTATTCGACCAAAATGTATAAATATGCATTATGTGTAGCGTTTTATGACCAGGACCCGGTCCCGGATCCCTAGTCTGGGATCCTGATTCTCTTCTGGATTCGGACCTCGTACTTTCTGGATGCTTGTAGAATACACGTTCTACTTCATATCATGTCTTCTTATTTTAACTAAATATGGGGGTTGTAATAATCGGATTTGAGTAACATTTCTTGTCACCGGATCCTCGATCCTCGCTCTCGTTTTCCGACTAGGTAAACTCGTAATAGTTCAAGCATATCAAGTTGACGTGTTTATGTGCAGGCGTAACATAAAGCAACCAAATATTATCTGTCGAATGAATCTGATCTATCCAGAAAGGATAGAATATCATTTATTCGTTTCTGTTTATTTGAATAATTGAACGATTGTTGGTCGAATAACTCAGTGGTAATTATTGTTTAGGTAATGATATATATTTATATTTATGATAAATATTAGAACCGTTATTTACCCAAATCACTTTGTTTTGGTTTCGACTAGGGCAATACCGCCTATCTAACCTACCTAGACCGTTTGTTATTCCTCTGTCCAAACCTCAATTTTGATCCTACAATGGGTTTGATCAATAGTGAACGCATAGATGTACACTTTTGAGAAGTCCTATCATTCATTCTATGTCAAAATAGTTATTTACAGTTTCAACGGTTCTACAACTCAAATATTACAATAATAACACACAAAACTTACATTTCCTTGTGGTTTAGTTAATGATGGCGGCGGAGGTATTGATGTAGTAGCAGTAGTAGTAGTAGTAGTAGTAGTAGGAATCGGTGGACAAATTGATGTTACTGATGAATTGGACAAATTTTTATTAGGACAATTAATTAATTCAATCATAGATGAACGTGATTGTTGCGTTTTTTTTTCATTTGTTGCATTGACCGGAATAATCACAGAAGAAATTAAAGCAGGTGATGTAGCTGTTTTTGATAGTGTAGTAGTAGTAGTAGGCGTAGGCGCAGTTGTACTATCAGTCATTACAGTTGAAATAACTGTTGATGCTGTTACACGTCGATGCAATTTAACTGATGAAATAAATGGTGAGTCAGTGGAGAAGTTGTCATTGGTTGGTGCATTATTATCAACTAAGTTACCACTCAATTCTATGCTGGAAACCATCTTAAATTGCGGTTGCAATGCTAAAGGTTGCAATGAAGTTAAACAAGCCACTGATGCAATATTTCGAATAGGTTCTGTATCGATTATTGCTGCTGACGATGGAATAATATTGTTAACTATTCTCTGATCATCTTTACTATGTATCTCATGACCGGCTACTATCGGTGAAGATGCTGCTGTTACAGATGGATGAATATCTGAACAAGGTGAGAGACTGGATCGATAGAACAAACGTTTCTTGTTCTGTTGGCTTTGTTTTCTCTGAGGTATCAATTGTAATGATCTGCCAATATACGATTTTTCTTGATTTGATCGAAGACTACTGTCATCAATGTATTCCACTTCTAAATCATCACCGTCAATTGGATGAATATCAGCGGACATTGATATTGATGTTGGTTTAATGGTCAAACCGGTAGTGGTAGTAGTAATAGTAATAGGTGAAGAAGTGGACGTGGCAACGATACTACTAATGACAGGATGAGTAGTGTGAGAACTTGCCTCAAAGTTTGATTTAGAACATATTAAATCTGTTGTTCCTGCCGTAGATCTACTCACTACATTCGAAGGATATGTAGTAATTGTAGTTGATGACATAGATGGGTAACCATTAACAGAAATGCTATCTTGATTAGCAGTAATCGCTTGTCTTTCTAATGTGGATAACTCAATCTATTAAGAAAGAGACATAAAACAAAACTTTATATCTTAATATGGTCAGATACAATATCCTTTACGAAAACGAAAAGTATTTTAACAGGCCGATAACCAATAGAGACGGGAAATCTATTGATGAGGTTATAAATCTACATCAACCGAAAGACGAATCTGATGCGCAGCTGTTTGTTCCGTCTAACTATATGATTGGGAAACATGCTCGGGAAGAGTGGAGGACATTCGTAGGCTATTAGTATTCGATCATAGATATTTTCGAAGCATCGGTGGGGTATCCTGAGACAACTAAGTAAGCAATGCTGTTGTCAGGAAACGAGTACTAGGTAGGGATGACAAATCAATAGATGAAGTATTGAAACTTCATCAGTTGAGGTGGTTGAGATATGTGTTACGTATGTCTAACCACCAACTGCTTCGACGAGCTATGTTTTATGGTGTAGGAATAGGTTGGAAAAAACTTTGGGGTGGCCAAACCAGAACATGGCACAAATCCATGAAATCACTGACATGCTGGTAGATTTAGACTACCTGGTTCGGATCCGCCAGATGATAGTAGTCGATGGTTAGAGACTTTGAACGACATGACTCAAAACTGTGTGCGATGGCGCAGGTGTATTTACTCTTTGTGTTCTATGAAATTCTAATCTTCTTAATTCCTCATCACCTATATCTTTCTCTTTCTACATTTATCTCACAGAATTATACTTCTGGAATCGTATCTTCGAACCATAATCTTCTCCATTACAGCTAATAATTCTACTATAGCTACCCACTATGTAATTTGAACTGATAGTTGCATATCTGTGCTGATGTGGTATGGCAACCTGAACTTATGTACTCATGTACAAATTTCTACGTTGTAAATGACTAAATGACTGACTGAAAACTCATTCTGAATGATTACTCTACATTAATTTTCATAGTCATGATGTAATATACACAGAGTATATTCATTTATCAAAAAGAAATACATATATGTATATAAAGAGTGAGTGAGTGTATTAATGAGGTTGATTAGTTTTATTTCTGAACTAATGAGATGTTTTTTTTTTCATAATTCGTACGTATTCATTTTAATTTTCTTCAATTCTGTGATTGACTGACTGATTATATGTAAGAGATTTCACATCATTACTTTATCTATCTATCTATCTATATATATATATATATATATATATATATATATATATATATATATTGTATACTCATAAATATTACCGCCTAAGTTGTCTAGACGACTAGACGGACTCGATGTGTGACCTCATCGCTAGAAGAAGAAGTAGAAGAAGGGGAACAAGAAACAAACAAAAGCCAAACATTTTTTAAAACAAACAAACAAACCTACCTTTCTAATAATACTCTCCGACTTTGGTCTATCATGAACAGCGGGCATAATAGTGAAATCATTTGGCGGCAAAAACGACAAAGATGCTGCTACAGGTGTAGCTGGTAAAGAAGAGCTGGCAATCTGTAGATCATTATCTTTTCCATTGCGCATTAATTGATTCGCATTTTTAGCAATGGATGTAGACAGTGTATGGATAACAACACTAGAGGCATCTAACTGAATACTATTGTTGTTATTAATATTACTATTAGTAATACTATTACAAATTGTAGTTGGATGAATATTAGGAATAGTACAATTAGCAGATAAATGAATATCATCTAATTTATGTGTAGTAGCATCAGTAGTAGTAGTAGTAGACATAGTTTTTACAGTTGATTTCAACATTTCACCTTTCACCAATGAATCACTATCGGAAGATATTAACTGATCGTTCATAGATGGTAATAATAACTCACCATCTCCGTTTATTGGCTAAATAAGAGAAAAAAAAGATCATTTGGGAGAATGATTATTTTCAATAAGAGTAATAGAGATTAGTGTTTTTTTATACATTGACTCAGTGGTTCAGAGGTTATTAGGCGTTCGCGCACAATACCGAAGGTCCTGGGGTTCGGGAACCTGCAGGAATCGTGGATGCGCACTGCCACTGATAAGTCAGTCCCATACACCAGGACGAAACGGCCCTCTTTCAGTTCTTCTAGGTTTCTTATATTGGTCAACAACAAGGTGTGCACCTGAAACATTAAAAATGAAACTGATACTCACCACAGAGTATTCACACTTCCATTATTCAACTTTAAAGTCTGGTAGGTAGGTAGGTGGTTACCAGCATCAAACAACTCATTTGAACTGTGACTAATCTGATTCCGGTTGATTGATCAGTAAAATAATGAACGAAATTATTCAGGTACATTGCTTTCAGAGTAGGTTGAATGTGATTTATTGGTCAATGAAGGCATTTAAATCCTACATTAAATCAGTTACACCTCAAACAGTTCAGTAGTAACCAATCAAAATCTAAAGCTGAATGATACATGGAGTGCATGTGCAACAGTTTCAAACGACCCCTTTATTAACCAGTGATAACCAACATGAAGTCATATGAAGAGGTTTCTTTTTTGATTATAATTAAACAGAAATTGAATCACTCAGATGAATAATCATACTGTGGTGTGTGTTACTTATACGAACGATATAAGTAGTATAAGAAGGGACGTAAAAGAAGAAGTCTCACGGTCAGAAGAAGAAAACGGAAAGCAAATGGAGCAAAAGCAAGAAGTAAATGGAGTACCAACATGAAGGAAAGGAAGCAACATCAGGAATGGAAGAAGGATGGAGCGTTGGAAGTCACGATTCAAAAATGGTATGCAAATAGTCAGTCAGTCAGATGCAACGTAGAACTTCGTATGTAAGTACATCAGTTCATGTTGCCATACCACATCAGCACAGAGATATAATTGTCAATTCAAATCCAAACAGAGTGTTCAATGTAATGTTGTCGTTTTTAATTGACTCAGAGTGTAAATTTGCCTAATGCGATCTTCCTCGCCTGCCTCAGTTTTCTCAATACTACAACACGATCAATAGTATTCAGTCAACATTCAAGAATAACTGTAACTCATTTGTAATATTTAGTCACATTTCAATAGATTATTTGATATTCAAAGTATCTTATTATTGAAGTATTTGTGTATCAAGTCTCAACTACAATGCTTGCGATAATTAAAATACAACTTGATATCAGCAAACCTAACCAGCCATAAAAATAACAGGACAAGATAAGCTGCGTTCGTAGATCTTCAGCCCAGCTAACTAGAGGAACAAGTTCAGAATCAGTAGGAAGAATATATAATTGTTGGAGACGTTAGATCCACGGAACTCACTTGGAAAAGGTTCTAATTTTAGATTTTTTTTGTGTTTTTACGAATAGGCTGGTCAGTTAACCTTGAGAATACACTTCCTACTCAGAAAATCCTTGAATGTCATTAGTTTAGTACGCTATTTTTGTGGCTCTCCTAAGGACGTTTCTATCATTGTATAAATAAACTCTGGGTGCACGTAGAATACACTTTCTATGCCATATCAAGACTTCTTGATATAGTAAGCAGGACTGGGGATGATCAAATCAGAAAAGCTTATCGTATGTCTGAATAATTCCTCTTCGCTCTAGTTTACCAAGGTGAACTCATAATAGCATTCAAGTATATCAATTGACAAGCATATCATAATGACATTCAAGACCGTTGTGAGTTGGAAACACAAACTGAAGGTAAAGAGGCAAAAAGTTTGGTGCAAACACTGGAAATTCAAACAGTTCACTAAAAAGCTTTATAAGGGTTTACGTTATACTCATCAAATGATATGCTTGAAACTATTACGAGTTCACCTTAGTCAGTAAAAGAAGCGAGGATCGATGGTCCGGCGACACGACAGGCTACTCTAATCCAAGCGTCCCAATGCCCCACTAAGTTGAGGAAGAAGTCTTGATAAGACGTAGAAAGTGTATTCTATAAGCAACCAGAAAATATGAGGTTGACAGTACAAAAATCGAGTTTATGGAAACGTTCTTAGGAGAGTCACAACACATTAGCTGTACTAAAAATAATAACATCGACCACACAGTAACAGGTCAGGGATATTGTCCAAATGGGAAATGTAATCTCAAGGTCAAATGTGATCAGCCAATGCGCGAAAACACACACACAAAAAAAACGCTCAAAAATTAGCACACCTTAATCAAATAAGGTTCTGCAGGATCTAACACATCCCCAAACAGTTACACTTTGAAGACAAATAACCCAGTATACATGTAAAAAAGTAATAATAATTCCCGAATTTCATTGTTAAAAAAAAACACAACTACCTCTAATTCTATGTAATAGAAAATCGTAAAAATTAACTATCCACACTACTACTTCCATATTTTATCGGTTACAAATAGGTAATCTAGTTTGTGTTTTTTCATTAGACAATTCAATCAGTGTTATTAGGATATTTAGCAACTGTCAAGTTCACATACTTCAATTCAAATGTTGTTTCCTATTGGTTAGTATTCACAGTCATCCTAACTGTATAAAAAACCTGGTTCTGGGTACTTTTAGAATACACTTTCTACTTCATGTCAAGACTGCTTCTTACACTTAGTGTGGGCTTAGGATGCTATGATTAGAGTAGCTTATCGTGTCACTAGGAGATGTAATCTCAAAAGGAATCAAACAACAGTCTATCATTCCTAGATGTATTAATCACCAGAACTAACGCAGGAAAACTGGAAACTCAAGTATTTCGGAAACCAACCAATACGGACGTGATACTCAACTACGATAGCAACAAACCAAGAACCCACAAAATCAACTGCATACAAACTTTGTTCAAGAGAGCGAAGACACACTGCAGCACATATGAAGCACTAAAACACGAGGAAAAACACCTTGTGATTATCTTCCAAAAGAACGGCTATCTACGTAACTTCATCAAAAAACATGAACCGAAACCATCATCAGAAGCGAAATCAAGCTCAGGAACCAATAAACGGATCATCCTACCAGACATAAAAGACATATCGGAATATACAGCACGACTACTGAAACCATTTGGAATGGGTGTAGCACACAAACCAACAGACCAGCTCACTCTCAATCACATTCCACTACTCCTATGTAAGACCTACAGTCGTATGCACGTGAACTGTCGTCTCCTCATACAGTTGTTCCTTCTATTTTTCACCCTACAGTCCCCGCCCGCACTGTAGGGTGTTTTTTTGTTGGTTCTTCTGTTGATGAGGACGACTGTTCACGTGCATTCGACTATAGGTCTACATATGATTGATTGAAGTGATTCTGTTGGTTTGTGTGCTACACCCATTCCAAATGGTTTCAGTAGTCGTGCTGTATATTCCGATATGTCTTTTATGTCTGGTAGGATGATCCGTTTATTGGTTCCTGAGCTTGATTTCGCTTCTGATGATGGTTTCGGTTCATGTTTTTTGATGAAGTTACGTAGATAGCCGTTCTTTTGGAAGATAATCACAAGGTGTTTTTCCTCGTGTTTTAGTGCTTCATATGTGCTGCAGTGTGTCTTCGCTCTCTTGAACAAAGTTTGTATGCAGTTGATTTTGTGGGTTCTTGGTTTGTTGCTATCGTAGTTGAGTATCACGTCCGTATTGGTTGGTTTCCGAAATACTTGAGTTTCCAGTTTTCCTGCGTTAGTTCTGGTGATTAATACATCTAGGAATGATAGACTGTTGTTTGATTCCTTTTGAGATTACATCTCCTAGTGACACGATAAGCTACTCTAATCATAGCGTCCTAAGCCCACACTAAGTGTAAGAAGCAGTCTTGACATGAAGTAGAAAGTGTATTCTAAAAGTACCCAGAACCAGGTTTTTTATACAGTTAGGATGACTGTGAATACTAACCAATAGGAAACAACATTTGAAGTATGTGAACTTGACAGTTAGGATGACAAAATAATTTCTTTAGAATAGTTGATAAATATCCTAACTCTGATTGAATTCCTAATGAAAAAAACAAAACAAACTAGACTACCTAATCGTAACCGATGAATATAAGAGTAGTGTGGATAGTTAATTTTTACAATTTTCTATTATAGAATTAGGGGAGGGGAGATAGTGTTTTTTTTTGACAATGCATTCGGGAATTATTATTACTTTTTACATGTATACTAGTTATTTGTGTTCAAGGTGTAACTGTGTTGGGGATGTTAGATCCCCCAGAACCTCACTTGATTAAGATGTGTTAATTTTGAGCGTTTTATTTGTATGTGTTTTCGCGCATTGGCTGACCACAGTTGACCTTGAGACTGCATTTCCCATCTGAGAAATCTTTGACAGTCATTTTTGGTTGATGTATATTATTTTAGTACTCTATGTTTTGTGGCTCTCCCAAGGATGTTTCTATAAAACTCGATTTGTGTACTTGTCAACCGCATATTTTCTGGGTGCTTATAGAATACACTTTACAAACCTTATCAAGACTTCTTCCTCAACTTAGTGGGGCCTTGGGACGCTCGGATTAAAGTAGCCTGTCGTGTTGCCGGACCATCGATCCTCGCTCCATTTACCGACGAAAGTCAACTCGTAATAGTTTCAAGCATATCAATTGGCGAGTATAACATAAACCCTTAAAAAGCTTTTTAGTGAACTATTTGAGTTTCTGATTTTTGCACCAAACGTTTGTATGTTTCCTACTCACAACGGTCTTGAATGTCATTATGATATGCTTGAATGCTATTATGAGTTCACCTTAGTCGGTAAACTAGAGCGAAGACGAATTATTCAGTGACACGATAAAATTTTCTGATTTGATCATCCCCAGCCCTGCTTACTATATCAAGAAGTCTTGATATGGCGTAGAAAGTGTATTCTACATGCACCCAGAGTTTATTTATACAATAGTAGATGCGTCCTTTGGTAG